GGCATCCCCCGTCCCGCGGGCCAAAATTGGCCCGCGTGATGAATTTGAGAAAGGTATGAAAAAAGAAAAGAAAAAGGTTTTAAATTATTCAGCTACTACACTGAAGATTTTCGACACAGAATTTCCTAATAAACGACTAACTGTGTCGCTGACACATAGACTTTCTCCTTATTAATGCATATATGATATATTGTGTACGGTGGCCCGTTAGTCAGTTGCTCGGAAAAATTTCGGCCCGCGGTCAAACCTGCTTGCCGATGCCTGTGTTAGAGGAAGTGAGTCCACACATGAGTGGTGCAATCGCAAAATTTGAAGGAAGATTCCTAAGTAGCCAGTAGCGAACAGTAGATTAACTTTGCTCACCAGCGGTTCAGCGATAGCGTTTCGCTACTGTTTTGGCGATAATAGCGATAGTGCATTATTTTCAGCTGACCAAACACTTTTCCAGCGCATCAGCGATAGCGAGCTACTCTTTTTCAGTGGCGTGACCATCACTGGACAATTCTATGTTCTACTCAAAGGTTTATTGGAGCTTTCCAATTTAAGATGGAGCCTTTCATAAATTCAGTGATTTACTGTCTGTTGCTGATCTCTTATCTACTCACGACTAACGATTGCTGTTCTTTTTTTTGCCTAATCTGTTTTATGTTTCCTCGCGCTGTGACGCTTGCTTGTCCTTTCAACGTCTTGATGAGGTTTTGTCGCAAGGTGATTCCTCATCTCAGTTTTGTGGAATAGTTGCACAAGCTGCTTGTACGATACAATCACTTGCACAAACATTAAATCATGTCATATCGTCGACAATTTCTTCAAATGACTCCATGTTTCGTGAATGATCAAAAAAACAGCTGGATCTCATCCCATACGAGGCATCGCAATCGTTCTTACGTTGCCTCGATAGCCACGTTTTAAAGATAAAATCGTTGATGATTTTTAGCTTATTACACAGCACGTCAACGGTGGATGCAGTTGAAGACTTGATTCTGACTTTAAAAAATAGTAAAGCGACTGTTTGAAAATCAATATTGTCATACATTCCGAATTCAGTACATCACTGTGTTCCTAAGAACACGCTTTATTGCTTAAAATTCTCGAAAACTTTAGTTGCACATCACGAATCCGCATGAAATTGTTTATAAAAGAACCTCAACTATTCATCGTATCTCAAAATGTTGTTTCAAGCCTACGATTAAGATAATCAGAGTTCAGGTGAAATCATGCTATAATATCAAACCAGCTAAACATTTTGGCAATGCTTAGTTAATTGGTACTTCCCAAATCAATTGACCGTGTGTAATAAAGATCAATAATCATAAATAGTGATCTCGACGCAGATCTTTTGATGATATGAGCATTTTATAGGAGTGTGCAGTCTTTGAAGCATCGCAGCAGGCTTGGTAAATCATCATCACCTCGAAAGCTTGACGAGTCTGATAACAGTGCAGATTCATATCCTCGCAAAATGATGCGTCCAAGCAGCATTGAATCACGTCGTTTACCACCAATAACGCGCAATGATAACAGTGGACAATCATCGACTGCATCAAGCACAGCACAAAACTTACCTGCAAGAGCCAGGTACATCACTTGTCAGCACCACTCGGTTACTGGCTGAATATGCCATCGAACGAACTCAATGAACACCATTTCCATCAAATTCACTTCAAAATGACCCTTATATGTAATCCTAAAACTGCAACTTTACTATCGACTTCCACAAGCAATGGAGCCTCTCAAAAATGTCATAGATTTGTGTCTAATGTCCTCCCTTGATCGATCACTACCTCGAATAGATCTGACTTTAAAAATTTGGGAAAATAGCACACTTCTAGGTTTTCGATCAAGCTACTAAGTGTGCCAAGAATTCATAGCAGCTCATTCATTGATTTTTCTTTCAGGACGGTTCACCAGAAGCGACGATCAAAGAGTCGTAAGAGTGATGAACCGGTTCGTATGACGAAGGCCAAGCCAAAAGAAGACACAGTGTCGAAGTTGGCATTGATCGGTGTTCCAGCATTAGCGGGTGGTGTAACCGCTGCAGCTTCAGTTGGATTAGCAACCGCAGCTAATTCAGAGACACCAAATCCAGTCATGCCTTCACCTCCTAAACCCATCGAAGAGCCGCAACAGTCAGCAGAAGACATGGGTTCGGCAGGCATCGATGGTTTCAGAGGCAATGAGTCGACCGAGGAAACTTCTATGAGAGCAGCTCTGTTAAGTGTGACTCCACCAGCGACAGAAATAACCGAGAAATGTGAAGATGAATCAAATGAAAATCAACAGCAATACGTCAGTAACAATGAAGAACAGCTTGATGCAGTGGAAGAGAACCCTCCATCAGATGAAGTTAATGATCACATCCTTACTGAATCACCAAATACAACCAAATTCGATCAACCCCGGACTGCTAGCATAGAATCTCGCCCTGAAGAAGTTTTCAGGGATGATGAATCGACTGGAGTAACGCCTGGGGAAGCGGATTTGTTAAGTGTGACTCCACCAGTGACAAAAATAACCGAGAAATATGAAGATGAACCCGTCAATATCAACGAAGAACAGTCCGATGCAGTGGAAGGAAACCCTCCACCAGATGTATCCACTGACCACAACCTCATTGAATCATCAAATAAAATTGAATTTGACGAATCTCACGCTATTACCATAGAATCTCGCTCTCAAGAAGCTCTCAGAGATAATGTATCGACCGAGATAAAATCTGAGGAAGCAACTGTGTTAAGTATGACTCCACCAGAGACAGAAATAACCGAGAAATATAAAGGTGAACCCGATGAAAATCAACAGCAATACGTCAGTAACAATGAAGAACAGCTTGATGCAGTGGAAGAGAACCCTCCATCAGATGAAATCAACGATCGCAACCTCAGTGAATCACTAAATAAAACCGAATTCGATCAACCCCAGACTGCCACCATAGAATCTCGCCGTGAAGAAGTTTTCAGGGGTGATGAATCGACCGAAGTAACGCCTGGGGAAGAGGCTCTGTTAAGTGTGACTCCACCAGTGACAAAAATAACCGAGAAATATGAAGATGAACCCGTCAATATCAACGAAGAACAGTCCGATGCAGTGGAAGGAAACCTTCCACCAGATGTATCCACTGACCTCATTGAATCACCAAATAAAGTTGAATTTGACGAATCTCACGCTGTTACCATAGAATCTCGCTCTCAAGAAGCTCTCAGAGATAATGTATCGACCGAGATAAAATCTGAGGAAGCAACTGTGCTAAGTATGACTCCACCAGAGACAGAAATAACCGAGAAATATAAAGGTGAACCCGATGAAAATCAACAGCAATACGTTAGTATCAGTGAAGAACAGTTT